TTATTAATATATATATACATATCACAACTAAAATATGTAACAGAGCCAAGAAAAAATGTATTTCCTCCTAACAAAAATATTCATACTTAATTGAAATCTATATTCTTTATAAAGTCTACATTTAAAATTTTTGTATTAATCCTCTCTTATGGAATGACTTGTAAGTTTCTTCATTTAATAAATTGCTATTTTTAAAATGAAACTTACATGTGCTAGAGCAAACTGAGCCAAGAGAGAGCTATTTCCAAGAAGTATGGAATGGTCTTAGCACTGCATCTTTTTCTGCAAGTCAGCATCCTTGCTCCCTCTGATTAATAACCCTCTATCACATTCTGTCCGTTCCCATAGATCACTGCAGTCAGTCCTGTTTTCTGTCCGTTCCCATAGATCACTCTGGTTAGTCCTGTTTACAAAACTCAGATTGCTCCTAGAGAAAGTCTCTTCACTGATTGTTCAGCTGCTCTTTTAAGCACAGTAGATTATTTGAGAGCTAACCGTTCTGCATCTTATTACAGTAGTGAATATAGATTCACACGGCAGCAGGCAGCATCTACACAGCACATTCTCCTTAGCAGATACAGGGAATGGTAAGTTCATGGGTAAAGCTGAGCAGAGTTTTGCCTTTTAAAATCAAGTTCAGATGTGTGGGCTTTTTCTTTTACTGATAAATTTGCCTTAAGCCAATTACACTCTTTATCTTCCATAAGACTGCATTTGTAATATACATGTGAAATTGGTCTAACAAGGATTGTGATTCTGTGAAGATAAGAACTGAATTGCCCTAGTTTACCTCTGATCACACAGAATTAAACATTAAATGATAACACCTAAAGAAAATGAAGATCACATAATATTCTCTTTAAAAGCATAGCACATTGATTCTGCTTAGGTAACATCTAAATTTAAAGTGTCATTCCCATTTTTAGTTAATATAATCAAAATCTCATTACAAATACTTCATTTATATTAACAGTGATTTTTAGAAAGCTTATCAGTTTGTGAGTATCACTATAACTTTCCCATGGCACCCATATCATTTGAAGACTGGATTAGCTGACCCTGATGTTTAGGCCCATAACATGCTTTTTCTACTACAGCATAAAATTTTCTGTGATAACAGAAACTGTATCTTCTTCACAATATTTGATACTGATTCTTCACTTTTGAAATGAAGATTGAATGTCAATCCTCCCTCCCCCTGTCCCCAATCTCTTTCAAAAGCTCTAGCAGGTGTTTGAAACAACAGATGCATGGAGTATGGAGTCAACTAGAACTGAAAACGAGGTTCAGTCCTGGGTTTTATCAGTTACTGCTTGGTTTAGTGACCCTGAGCAAGGATGTCTGTTTTCCTGTGTAAGAAACAAGTATTGTGAGATTAAACATACACAAAGCCTGAGTCCTAGAAGTTACTCGATGAAAATGTGCTCAAGTCCTCTCTGATCTTTTTTTCCCTTCCATTCTTTTCAACATTTTGGAAGTATTAAAAGAATGTTTTAATCTCATCATAATAATGATGTTTAATACCTACGACTTATTAAATGACTAGTATTTGCCACTCAATATATTAAGCATTTTTATTGTCTCCAGTTTTCACATTGTTTTTCACAGAAGAGAAATAAGATTAAGGAAAGTGTTCCTTTTATTTACCGAAGACCACAAACTTCTACCCTATGCTAATGATTACAGCTGGAGGGAGGAAAGGAAGAGTTAGAAGTCATTAGTCTCAATGTAAAATTGGGTTTCAAGCCCAAACATACCTGACCTGGCTTTGAAAGCCAAGAAGTGAGAACTAAATGATTTAACTCCAGAGTGATACAAAAATTTATTAACCACCCAACACACATTAAATGTATATATAGTATCATCATACTCTAATTTCATGTAATCAAATTTTATCTCCTATTTTTCAGGAATAGCATAAATATAAGTAATATAAATAGAGTATAAAGTAATTATCAAAGTTAATGTTTCAAATGTTAATCATGATCCCATTATGTATTGTTTTAGGGGTTAGTTATCAAAATGTTTTACAAATATGAACTTTCAATAAACAGCTCACCCAAAGCATGATTGAAGATGAGATACTCATGATACAAACTGCAAGGATTTCTTCTTACCACTGAATTTCATTTAGCTTTCCTGGAAGAAACTTCTTAGAATAGTTCACAACGTTTTGTTCAGAGGACACAATTGTTTACAGTAGTTTTGCTATTCATTCTCAGGAAACATGTCCAGGAAGCAGAAACCAAATCTCATTTGAAATCTTTGTGTCTGGGGTTGTAGTTACTAAAATCTACTCTGATTTTTAAAAAAGGGGTGGAGACTTGAAATCCAAGAAAAAATGAATGTATTTTTGTCCTGTTAGTTTTTAATCTGATTAGTATTTATTTTTTGCACTAGAAGCATGTGACAATTTAACTTCCTATCATATCTCAAGTTGCGCAGAAAAGAATTATAAGGATTTTAATAACTAAACTTACCCAATTTTTTATTTCATTTTCTACTACTTGTGTTACACAATACAACGAGTCTATCCATATGACCATGATTCAAGCAATCCAAGTCAATAGAAATTCATTAATAATAACATACTAGGCGTTTCTGAGCTCTAAAGAAAGATAAAAAGATGGTGATAAGGCTCTAAAAGAGACACATGGCAACTAAGAGAGTGAAGAGAGTAAGAACAATAGAGCAAGGTACAACATGCTACGCAGTCACAATGTGGGAGTGATTCCTCCCAACCGAGGACACATGGAAGAGCTGACAGCATCCCATGTCTGTACCAGCAGATACCACTTTATCAAACCCTTAAAAGTTGATAGGTCATACAAAAGTTTGCTTAGTGCAAAAGGTCACTTTTTTCATATATTCACTGTGATATAGATGGTGTCTAAATGTTAGATATAAAGTACATATCTTCTTCCAAATATTAAAACTTTTTAGGTTCATAAGGCAAAATTTGAGCTAGGAATGATAGCGCACACCTGTAACCATGGCACTCTGGAAGCAGGAGTAGGCAGATTCTCTGAGTTCAAGGCCTGCCTGCTCTACTTAGAGAGCTCCAGGCAGACCAGAACTACATACTGGGACTCTGTCTCTAAAAGGAGTTTCAAAATAATAAGTAAAAGGAAAAATTCAAAATTGAGTGCACATTCAGAACACGCGGTAGAGCTGGCCCAACTGCTGGTAACAGCTGTCAATCACAGCCCTCCTCTCTGTCTCAAGGTTCCTGGTGTCACTCTTCTTAAACTGAGCCATGGAGACTGGAAAACAACCCCAACAGATTAGCAGTCTGCAGCTTGAACAGTACTATGCACTGCTTCCTCTGTCTCAAAAGCTGTTTCCCTATCCTATCTATCTTCATCATGGAACCCACCCTCTCTAAATCTCTGAATCCTGTTCCTTACACACACGCCCTAGTGATAATGAAGAGTTCTTGATCTCAGTTCTGGCCTCATATGCTCTATTAAATCCATTATGGAGCACTACATACTACCCACTCTTTCTCCATAAGTGCCAAGTCTCTTTCCAGAGAGGAACTGTGTGTTGTTCGGGCACTAGCAGAGCAGTGTGACAGCATAAGTTCTTATTTTGAATTAAAAGGAACATATTATTTGAAAAACTGATTTTGGAAATACGGATGAAATTAGTTAAGATGGAATCACACTGGAATAGGTGGGCCCCTAATCCAGTATGATTGAAATCATCAGAAGAAGGTGACCCTGAGTAGCTCAGAAAAAGAAGAACAATGGGTGTAGAAAGAGGGATAAGAGAGTGACATAGGATTAATGTGTTCAAAATACATTATATGCACATATGGAAGTGCCATAAAGAAACCCCATTATATAGTAGTAATATGTACTAATAAAAACTTTTAAAATGGACATAGTAAACAAATTTTTGAGGCTGCTTCTTCCACAGCAAGGTGCATTCTTTTATGATTAAAATTTTTCTGTAATTAGAACACTGTAATAATGAAAAATAAATACAACCCCCCACCCCAGGTGACTGTGTGAGGCACAAGGGAGAATGCCGTATGACAGCAAAGGCAGAAGCTATAGTTCTGTAAGTCAAGGAATGGCACAGATGGCCAGCAGATGAAGCGGCCCAGAAACCAATCTCAGAGGAAACATGGCCTTGCACACTCCTTGGATCTGGACCACTAGCCTCCAGAACTGCAAGAAAAGGTGTTTTAAAGCCAGCAACGTGCTACTTAGAAACAGAAGCCCAAGCACAGTGTGTGGTACATTTGGATGGATAGATTGGCTTGAGATTTTTCCCATATCTGTAAAACACATTTTATTCTCACTTTGTATTTCTTTTTTTTCTAGCCTTGTTCTAAACAGAATGTCCTTTTCCCGGAGTTTGTCTGCTCTATAGTTTATTGATATATCTTCATGCCTGTGATAAATTAGGTTTTGTGCTTATGAAAACATACCTAGTATACGAAATCTGATAGCCAAGAAAAAAAGGGAGAGGTGCAGGAAAAAGCTTTGTTCTCAAGTGAAAGTTCTAAAGTCACCACTCTTTTGTTGTGTGTTCGGGTGAGGTGTGATCTCTGGGTTTACTGATCCTATATATAACTGCCATTTAGTGTCAATTTCCTTTGGTGGTCAATAGCTAAGACTTTGTCATCAGTATCTGGATCAAGCCCAATTTGCCGTTGAACTGCTTGAGAAAGTTGTTTAACCTAACTCTGCCTCGGTTTCCCCACCTGTCAAATGGAGGAAGAAGTGTCAAATTTCTGAATTGTTAAAATCATAATAAAGGACTTTAGATATCTTAGGACAGTTCATATGGTAAGATCTAAATAGAAGTTGGTTGTTTTGAGCAAATAAAAATCTGCATGTTAAAAACCAAAACCAAATTATTCTACATAGATCTATTGTAGAAAACATATTTTAACATCCTGCTAATGCTAAAAAAATGAAAAATTCCACCTTCTGCAGATACAGGCTTCATTGTTGTGTCAAAAAGATCACTTTTTTTTCTTCAAATAGGCCAAAAACAGAGATGAGATTCTCCAACTCCTAAGAAAACAAAGAGAAGAGAGAATTTCGGTAAGAGTGGTGGTGGGGCATTGGATAGCTGACTGAAGGCACGCATGATCTGTGGACAATGTTCAGAGGTTTTGCAGGCTGCCCCTTTAAGTCTGTACTCTCATGGCTTGAACCTTCTATGCACCAAAGGCTGGGAAAACAGAGATTAAGTAACTGGACAGCCCATAAACCAGAGAGAGATCCAGAAGTTTGTACCTGCTAGCAGAAGAAACAAGGTCTGGATGTGGGGGAAGCCACTGTTCACATACTACAAAGTTGTAGGCCATTAACATGTACTACTTCAATTTTACAATGATTGTTCTTAGTAGGTCACAAAAATAAAAATTATGTGATTAAAACCTTTATGAAAAAAATAACTCACTAGAAATATATCGATGTTCAAACATACACTCCTGAATGGGCCTCAAAGTCTTTAGCCCTTAACGTTTCCGAATGAATAGTTTTCAGGTGTAAGAATCTTGTCTTTCTAGACTCTGTGATGGGTTTACCTTAGGCTGTTTCCAAGTGGATAAACTTCAGACAGAGGAAGTAAGCATTTTCTTTTTATTTTTTCTAGAAAGAACTGATTTCATTACCTTATAAACCCAAGGTCAAAGTACCTGAAGCGAAGTAAGTTTATTTCCAAAACATCCTCATCTTTTTATTTGCCGTGTTTAAAAGATCATTTTTTGTGTATTTGTCTCCTACCAACACATCTTCTAAAAACCTACAGCACTGTGTGGGGTTTCCTTGCCTTAAATAAACACACTCCTCAGTGTAGGGACGTGCGCACACGTGTGGGTGCAAAGTGGAGTTCCTACTCAGGTACTGGAGCGTGTGCGTGCCTCACTGCCCTTCTCACCCCAGGCCATTCTCACCTGCCTGCACGCCCTCCCGACTCCGCCTTCCCATCCTCAGCCTGCCATCTTCAGTGCATCCTCTGGTGGTGACAGAATAATGCTAGACTGGGGCAGGAACATACTCTAGAAGAATTTGAGGGAACTTAACAGGTCTCTGGAAAGTATCCTCTTTTCTGGCTGTATGCAGAGAAGAACAGTTGTGGAAGCAATAAGATTTTGACTATTGCATTGATGTTGGGTCTGACCCCTTTAATGTCAACAAATAGCCTTGAAGAGTAATTATGTCCAAATAGTTTTTTTTTAATCACTAATTACCTGCCTATTTTCTACACCATGCTTCACAACTTAGTTTCTTGCTTTCAAGGAGAGTATTTGACTTACTGCTTTGAGTGGAGGAAGATAACTTAATGGAAAGACTTATTAACTGACCCAGACAGACAATGGATAAATAAAGACTGCTGTTGGAGTAGCACAGACAAGTCTGGGTGCCTTAGACTTTGCATGCATGTTTACAGAATACTGTGTTAATATCCTTGTTGATTTGCCTACAGGTGTATTATAACTTAAACATAATTTTTGTGAATAAATGAACTTAGTTAGGATCATTTACTATATAGCAGGGAATGATTCAGAAGCAGTGATACTGACGAAAATTAAGCCCCACCCCAAATCAGTTTTGTAGCTCTTATAGAATTTAATATGTGGGCATGAGGAAGTATCAATATGGAACCCCGACAATGCTTTTGTAAAGGTCTCCTGGGGCTTTTATGCCCTCCCTTCCCTCTAAAAGTGAATTTTAACAGCCCCGTTATCATAGACCTAGATATCTGTAGTGTAGATTATTCCATTGCTGTGATTCAGGCTCAAGGTTAGAAGGTAATTTTAAATTTTAAATTCTCACTTAATTTCTGTTGTAATATATTCTCTCCTTAATCCCCAAGTCTAGGTTTCTTTCCATTTCACAGTGGCATCTTTGTTGGAATGTAAAGGCCCTGTGTGTACTATCCTTTTGGCAATCACACACTACTATGTCCATATTTTATAATTAGTTAACTCACTATCCCCAATTTATTTAACAGTTCACATAATTTTATGCCTTGTCTATAAATATATTGTAAGTTCCTTGAGAAACTGGATCACACCCAACTTAAGTGGATATTGGAATTCAGAATATATTTGTTTTTAAAAATATGGAATGCCATGTAATTAAGTATTAGCTAGCTTGGGAATTAATGCCTCTATACTGTACACTAACTTATGCAAACATTTCTTAAATTTTGTAAGTACTTTTCCCTCAGTCTTGCCCACTCTACCCAAAGTTCATACACACAATGATGCAGATTTATAATCCCTCACTCAATGGACCTCTGTGCTCTTTCTAACAGAAAGTAAATTCATAGTGATGCTTTCGCAGTGATAAACTTAGTATTCTCCCTGATGATATTTCCATTTTCAAGGGGACTGAGTAAAAGGATATAGGAGTAATCAAAGGAATCAATTTAGGTAGGATGTAATGGTTCCCACCCTTCACATCACACTTCCCTGTATGATAACCATTTCTCTCACATGTGTTTCATACTTTAATACACATTCAGAATCCATGATGCTGCCTACTGGGGAAATTTTCAAAAGGGAATTTTCATTCCCCTGCTACATTGTGATCATGATGACTGCATTCTATTGTATAGGAACTGACTCTTTTTGCTGCCTACAGGGAAGTCTCGTCAGAGTCAGACAAGCAGGAACAAGAAGAAGTCAAAGCCTTGGGATGATTTGATTGACATGTGGTAGCAGGTGACTGACATGCATTCACCTTTGAAGCAAGTCATGCTAACGTCAGGGTTACTAGGTAAAAGATGTGCAGATTTCCAGAAATTTGACAACTACTGAACATTCATGTTAAAATAGACTAAAATAAAAGTTAAGAATACAGACAGGTGCATTTTGTCAGTTATTGAACATTTGTTTCTATTTTATTTATTGATACCATTGTGTTTGAAATCATTCTATAATCATCTTTCTCATCTTACACATCCAAAACTAACACCTTTTTTTACTTTCAGTTAAAGGATATTGCCAGAGTGTGTATATTTTATTTGTATTATGAATATTCAATAAGCAAGAATAAGGGGCTCTATATGCCTCTTGACATGGGCACTATCAGCAAAAATAATAAAACAGGGATGAAGAGGCATTCTTAAAAACTGAAAGACTTCTCTTAAAAATATCCATTTCCCAAAATTTGGCTTATTCCATTTCTAGAACAGGCCTAAGCCCAGGACTGAGTTGCCACTGGACCTATAAATAATGGTCTCAGTATGGCTGTGTCTTATACACATGTGCATAACCCCATTGTCAGCCAACCTCACTCAAAGCCTGCTTCCTTTAGTAATATTGGAAAACAGAAGGTTAAGGATTTGTCCCTCTGCACTGTCAAGAAGAAAAGGTATTCTGTCATGTTGAAATAATTATCAGACAGGTGGCCCACTCATGGACCAGTGAGCTATCTGAGGCATGCTCCTCTCAGTCAGAAGATGCCAGAGAATGAATGAGTAGAACATGAAAGGACTTTTCTGCTGTAGGCTCATAAAGTTCTGATTTAGTCTATGGATTAAAGAGAAACATTCAGCCTCTTTAGTAAGGGGGACTGTATTAGTATAATAAAGGATATGTGTCCTGGGAGGTGTGAAGAATTGGGGGTAACTATTACTAATCACTACATTCAGTTTATTGTATATGCTAAGGAAGCCAATATGGACCAAAGTCAGAGTATCACAGGGAGAGCTCAGGATACAATTAAACTATTTGAAACAAAGTAGTCATTTCATAAGTTGAAACAGATCTTATAATATTAGAAAAAATTTAAACTGACACTAAGACAAATGTAACTTCACATTTACATACATGTCGTCCTTGGCAGACCATCACAAAACTCTTAAGGTAGTTATTAAGGCCTCTAAGAAACATAGTGCTAATGCCAAAGGTCACACAGACACTGAGGAAAGGCGGCACTCCAAACAGAACATCGGGTACCACTTCAGTACCATAGTACCCTACCACCACGACCGCTGTTGCTTTGCTGGATTGATCGTGACAAGTAGTTGTTAGTTGTGAGATAGTCTAATCAGAACACCGGCAAGGGCTGCTTGTCCTCACCTGTCAGTGCTGGGGTCTGCGACTGCAACAGCTCCTGCTGCAGTCTGAGCTGGAGTTGAGGTGGATCCTGTTCCTGCTCCTACTTTATTCCAGGTCTGTTTGCTTAGAACTGCAGTGGGTCAAGACTGTGGAAGCATCACTGCTTCGTTTTTTGTTGCTGTTGTTGTGGGGTTTTTTGTTTTTTGTTGTTTTTTTTGTTTTGGTTTGGTTTGGTTTGGTTTTTCAAGACAGGGTTTCTCTATATTGTTTTGGAGCCTGTTGAGCTGGAGGGATAGCTCAGCTGTTAAAGGCTAGGCTCACTGCTTCATTTTTAAAAGACTCATTTTCACTTTGTATTATGTTTTTCCTGCGTGTGTGTATGTATGTGGACCACATGTGAGCCTGGTGCCCCCTTTGGGCCAGAAGAGGGCAGAAGATCCCTTGGAACTAGAGTTACAGTCACCAAGCTGGTGCTGGGATCTGAACCCAGGTCTTAGGCAAGAGTAATGAGTGCTCTTAACCACTAAGTCATCTCCCCAGCCCCATCTCTGGTTTTCTGACTGCTCTTCTGAAAAAGCTAAATAAGTAAAGGGTAGCACAGTGAGCCCAAAATCCAGACGTCTGTAGCCCAGATGTGACTTCTGCTATGGTTCACAACACCACAGCCTAGTGGAAAAGTCAAAGAAACCTTGGCTTTTTACTTAGTTTATAGTTTTTGTTGTTGTTGTTGCTTGGTTTTTGGTTTTTTGGACAGGAGACTGGTTCTATTGTTTGAATGTATTTGAAAACACGTTTACTAAAAGACACAAATATAAATAAACACAGCTATTGTGGGAGTTTAAAGGGGAGCGTACACTTAGGCTAGGTTGGTTATGGACGCTTTAATGAGGGGTAGGATCATTCTTTCCTAGGAGAGTCATCTTTCTGTCCACCAAAGGCTGAACTCCACAAACAACTCCCACCTGCCAAGGTGTGTCCTGCACAAAGCAGATGGCTTTCTGGCTGACATGTGGAACACTAGCTTCTTTCGGAGTCCTCTTAGGAACTCCTGCTCCACCTCCTTTTGTGCCTTTTGTGGAAGCTCTTCAGTCTGAAGTGCTCCTCGGCAGTAGACACACCACCTGCCTGAGAATCCAATTCCCTTATGCTCAACTTTTCTTCCCAAGTGCAGCCTCCCTCCCTCCCTCCCTCCCTCCCTCCCTCCCTCCCTCCCTCCCTCCCTCCCTCCCTCCTTCCCTCCCCCTCCCTCCCTCCCTCCCTCCCTCCCTCTCTCAGGCAAACCCAGGATCTCCCTGGGCGGCTCTCTGGGGAAAGCTGGCCCTTCAGGCTCCCTCCTCTGAACAAGCAGTTTCTGGAGCCTAGAGCGCAGAGCACCAGATCAGGCCGTCGGGGGGCGGGCCAGCACAAGGGGCTGCCTTCCCGCAGTGACGTCCCAGGAGGCGGAGGGGCAATCAACTAACAGTCTCTGCGCCCTCCCGGACTCCTCCCAGTGCGGGGTCCGTGGGTCCTTGGGAGATGCGGCTGCCTTGGTGGCAGTTGCCCGAACGCAGCCGCCTGTTTGGCCACTTCTCTGCCTTAGTCCCGGGGTATTGGGACGCACTGGAGTCCAGCAATGCAGCCGGGACCAGCACTGCAGGCCGTGTTGCTGGCGGTGCTGCTGGCAGAACCGCGGGGTTCGAAGGGTCGCCTGCTGAGCGGTGAGTACGCGCCCCTGGCGAGAGGGCTAGTGCCCCAGAGCCTGGGTTTGATGTACCCAGTACACCCCAGCTGTTGAGGACTGACTTCAAGGCCACTGTACCCATTCTTTGGCCCTTTGCTTAGTGAGGGGTTCAGCAATCCCAAGATCCACCCGGGGACCCAATCTACCCTTTTGAGTTCTCTGCTTCCAGGGAGCAAATGTGCAACTAGCTCCAGTTCCTGGGGCTGCTCTGGGTATCCTGCTACGCTGGAAGTCCGTTCTCACCCAGGGATCACTATGGGGTGAGTGGGAGGATGTAGCCTGGGTGGGGCAGTGGGCAAACTTGCTCCAGTGAGTGCCCCTTCGCCTGCATCTTTGAGCACTGCTTTGCAGTGCAGTCTCTGGATCCTTCTAGTGGAGACAGCAGATTCTGGAAGACGAAGCCCACCTGTTACTCTTGCTCTCCTCTGAGGGGAGGGTGACCGGCCCGGAATGGAAGCGCTTGGAGATTGGGAAAGCCCAGTTAGAATGGGACCAGCCCTGCCAGGCTCCAAGAATGACTCTGCTTCCTTTCTTGTGTGTTACTGCAGCCTTGGACTTGGACCCCAACGGAGGTACATTACTCTGACTTCTACCTCAGTCTGCATGTCTAGGGAAGAATATTATCTTTTTATCAGGTCTCCTTTGGCCAAAGAGGGACAAAGGAAATGGGAATAGCCACTGTATCCCAGCTTGTGGGTCTGATTTAGGGAATCTAACTTTCGTTTCAGGATGGGGGTGTGGTTCGGCTCAGCAGAGGAGCAGGGAGGGTTAGGGCTGCATGGCTTCTCACTTGGTGGTGGTGGGAGACCTCCTGCCTGCTCTTGCCCTTCCTGCAAACCAGAAAAGAAAGACACTTCCTGAAGGCAGGGGAACCAGATGGGTCCTGGGCTGCCTTCCAGCTCTGGCGCTCCCTGGCACTCACGAGCATACACGGGATGTGTGCAGCCATCCTGGACCATACAGGAAGCTCTGTTAAGGTGTTAAGCTTTCTCTTGGCAGTCTGTCCTGGAAAGGTGGGACTACGGGTAAAGGCAGCTCCAGCTTCTGTTGTGCTAGTGGCCAGGCTGGAGAGGCCAGGGCCCTTTGCCTTCCTCTGCTGCAGGCCTTCTCATTTTCTCTGGGCATCTTCGTGGTCCTCAGCAGCGAGCCCAGCTTCTGAGCACTCCTCATCCTCTGGAGGAACCTGTCCTGTTAGAGACCCTTTGTCTACCAACCACAGCTTCTTCTAAAGAGAAGAGGTACAGGACACTCCCAGCTCCTTGGTCATGAGAATTGATCTAAGTGTGGAGTTTGGGGGAGAGTCTTGTATTGCTTCTCCACAGTTAGGACTGTCTGTGGTCTTTTGACATGCATGCTGGGCAATTATTGGAAATAATATACAATGCCTGGCTCCCTGCAGAGCTGAAATACATACTGCGGAAGTTGTAACACTCTAGAAGGTCTGGCAAGAGGCTCAAAAATAAAAATCATTTATGCCTTACTCCGTGGCAGCAATTCATACCTGAAGCCTACAGTTTGGCTCTTTTATTGCAAGGAACTAGTCTCCTTGCTGAAACTTGTCTTTTATTTTGTACACTTAACTCCAGAGTCAAACTGTGGCTCCTGTGGGTTAGGAACTGGCATTTCTGTATTCTGGATACCCAGCACATCAGGCTGAACAAAGGGCTGACTAGGCTAGGTTTCAGCTGCACCAAGACTTCAGTCATCCAGACACAAGCTAAGGCAGCCTGTGCTGGTGAACTGTTTGCTGCTTGCTGCTCAGTGGAATCTCCATTTTCCTGAAACTCTCTTCAGTCCTGCAAGTGTCAAGAAAATGAGTGCAATCTGAGCCTGTCAGAGAGTGGGGAACCATCAAAACAATTCGGTGATTCTGGTATGATTTTATAATCGTATCTAGATCTTGACTCTGACAGTGCTGCTGATAGCTGTATGACAAATCAATTTCTCTGAGCTTCAGTTTTCTCATACATGAAGTGGGGCATAAATGGTCTGGACATTAGAAGACTGCATTGAGGGCTAAAGGAGAATAATTTTTTATTTAAAAAACAACACCTTTACCATAGCTAATGGGACATGGGAAAAGTTCAGTAAACTCTAGCTATTGTCTTTATCAGTAGCAGGAAAATCCATGGATGCTTTTAGCTTCTGCTCACATCAGAGACTGAACAAATTAGCCCCACTGCATAGACAGGGAACTTGAAGATAGAGGAATTCATGGCTGACTTCAAAATGCTCCTCTGTACTGAAGGAATCACTTAGCAGCAACAGTTATTCTAAGCCCCCCCCCCAATTCCCTTGGAGTTCCTAAGGGAAAGACTGTCTTATTTGTATGCATTAAGTGAAGTCATAAATATTTACCTATTCTCTTTAAGATACAGAAACATCTTCAGCAATCTTCACTGCAACAAAGACATGGATTCCCCTACATAATACAGGCTTCAGAGTTTAAAATCACTGTTACTTTGTGTTATAAAGAGTACTAGTTTTCTCAAGAAAGGCTGAGTGATAACAATCCACAGATGAGCCATCAGAATTCCTGCCCTGAAGATGGCTTCATTCAGATGTTGCTAAGCACATCTGCGCTGGTACACTTTCTTGGGGGCACTGAAACAGGTTGCCTTCTTTTGTCTCTAGGGCAACTGGTCTGCCGGGGAGGGACTCGGAGGCCTTGCTATAAAGTCATTTACTTCCATGATGCTTTTCAAAGACTGAACTTTGAGGAAGCCAAAGAAGCCTGCAGGAATGATGGGGGACAGCTAGTCAGTATCGAAACAGAAGATGAGCAGAGACTGATAGAAAAGTTCATTGAAAACCTCTTGGCATCTGATGGTGATTTCTGGATTGGCCTCAGGAGGCTGGAGGAGAAGCAGGGTAACAACACAGCCTGCCAGGACCTTTATGCTTGGACAGATGGAAGCACGTCACAATTTAGGTAAGTTTGTGGATCCTACCGCAGCTGATTCCCTTGCTATAGCTCAGAAAAGAGACAAGCAGGACCCACAGTGTCAGATTCATGAGAAAGTCTGTCAATAACAACAGAACAGCTACTGATCAGAGCAGTACAGCAAAAATGGATAACTCAGCCTACACTTGGGCCCAAAGTGCCCTGTTCAGGAGGGTGAAGCCCAGAAGCACTTTTTAACAGCATGCCATGCTTGGCATCTATGGTTCTCTGGACTCTGGCCCTGGGAGCTAAGACTGTGTTGAGAAACTAAAGGTTTGGGACCAGGGTAGGACTCCAAATCACAGGGAATTATGATAAGGGCAGGAATTCAGAGCCAATATCTTACTCTATGAACTGACCAAGGGTGGAGACTTCAAGGAAACTACAGTTTGTAGGAAACTCCTAAACTCACAGCATCAAGATACTGATGAGCACATACATCCCACCATGCACCATGACACTGTCATCATCTCTTCCTAAAAAAACACAGGGACATGGACAAACGTTTCAAAAATATCAACATTAAATGATAAATATGGGAAAGGGGAGAACAATAATACCAAAGAGTTAATCGTTATATGGTAAAGAGTTGTAAGCCAATTTAATACATAGATGACAAAATACAAAGGCCTCAAGGACAAAAGACCTAAGCAGAAAGCTCACAATGAAGAAAATTGAATTTGCTAGACAATTATATGGAAAAAACATGTAGTCACTATCACTCAAAAGCATACAGATTAAAAGGTAGTTTGTCTGGGCTGGAGAGATACCTCAGTAGTTAAGAGCACTGGCTGCTCTTGCAGCAGACCCAGGTTTGGTTCTCAGCACCCACATGGCCGCTCACAACTGTCTATAGCTCCAGTCCCAGGGGGATTTTGCTCCCTCTTCTGGACTATGCAGGCACTTTATGTACAGACATGGTGCTCAGATATGCAGGCAGTCAAAACACCCATACATGCAAAATAAATAAATATTGTTAAATGATAGTTTAAGATAGTTTATCTGTTACATTAAGACAGCATCCCAGCTCTCACTCTTTATTGATTACACTTATAAGATCTGATCTTCATATAAACTGTAGAAGAAACTCTTCTGAGATCCTTGCAGCCTTCTCTTCCTGGAAGAAATTTTGAAATAGAAGGTTCAGAGTAGGAAGTATATTTCTCATCACTGAAGATGATCTTAGAGCCACAGCTGACACATGCTGACATCCCACCTTTACTGTCCCATAACATACCCTACCCCTTCTGCTGGTCTTAGTGGTTGACTTAGCCAGGCCATCATCTCTGGAGTGCAAGAGTCAACTTGCACTTCTCAGGCTGGAGTTAATATGCTTTCCCGTTGACTTTTAAAAGTAGGATGTGAACATGAAGATACTCCCAAGCACATAACCTGGAAGGCTCTTCCTACCAATACCACACAGCAGCAAACCACCTCCTCCTAACAGAGTAAATAGCCTCCTGCCTAGATACTCACATCTCTTCTTGTCTGCTGATCTCTGACATAGAGATCCCAAGTGCCACGTGGTAACCATGGCTTGTGGCTTGATTAGACTCTTGCTATGTCTCCTAACAGAACTGTACCTCTCTGCGAACTCCCAGATCATAGCATTGCAGAAATGAGAAGTACAAATGCCACAAGTGAAGATGGTATCCAATGGAGGAGCTGCAGCTCTTATCCCTTGACTCTAGACTGGTATATTCTATTCTTAGAGATACAGGGTTATGGAACTTGGTACTTTAAAGTATACACTGCTGCTTGGGGAATGATGTCCCAATTACCTTGAGACTGATGTTTCAGGGGTAGGTATTTTCAACAAGTTCTTCCATGATTCAAGCTGGCAGCTGTTTGATGGAGTCATACATAATCTGACAAGAAATTCCCGTGATCAGGGGCCTAGTCTCATACCACCTTTGATACAAAATAGGTCTTCTGCCTGGTTAGACTGTATTTCAGATCTTATTTTGATGGATATAATACTAGTTACACCTTTGAATAGTGGATCTGACTAAAACCCTGGGGCAGAAAAAGCAAACTATCTATTCCTACCAAAATGAGTAACACTCCCTTGCAGGGTCCAATGTAGCTAATTTACCACCAAATATCATGTTGGTCTCCTTAATTACCAGTGCTATACTATCCCCTTCTTGTCTTCACCCTCTGGTGGTTTCAATGGCTGATATAATGGCATTGCCAGACCTTCTCTGGGGTCACTTGAACTTCACAGGCTGGAGTTGGTATCAGTCTTAATATTGATCTCTATTGCTGGAAGGCTGTTTGTTGGTAGTCACAGCCAGACCAGTCTTGCTATGTGCAATCCAAACTGTTGAGGCCATGTAGAGCCTCCATGGCTATTATTTATCTATTGAGTTAAGTTACTATGGGTGTGACTGAGAACAGTCAGTTGGCATCATTTGGCTCACTCATTTTTTGTCTCCCTTGTTGTTTAGTGCCAGTTCTGTAGAAGATACTCCCTGGTGAATTTACCACATGACAAAACTTCCCAGACTTCATGCTCACTTGTTTATCTCTGTTCACTTCATGCTATCCAAGATGTCATTATCTCCAGTCTTCATTCTTTTTCTTCCATATTCTTACTAACTGGCTGTGCATCTTCATTTCCCCCAAGTTCCATGTCTTAACCTCCAGAAACATCTACTTCCACGCAAAGTGGCTAATGAGGTATACTAACTAATGCTCTACCCAGTGGAAGACTGTTCCCTTACCACTGGCTTGCAAGACCACCTCTTAGAGCAGCTGTAGTAAAGCTTGCAGTCGTTTAAGCTTGTTTGAATTCACTTAGAACCAAGATTGAGCTGACTGTATCAACTAGTCCCAAGGGACTCTTCCACACATAGGGATGTGAGCCCAGGATGGAACTCTGGTACAACTGTGAGCCTACACCTTCCTTAAGAGTCCCTTTCTGTTCTAAATCCTGCTCAAAACTGACCATCTGTCATATAGGCCACACTAGTACTCTCAGACGAGAAATATGGGACCCAAAGAGACCTGCCAAGTGCTATGCTTCCTTTAGATTATACTATGATATACTGGTTTGTTATTTAATTTGAAAGGGATGTTCTGGCATTCTCCAGATCACTAGACATCTGTACATTCCAATGGAGTGATAGGTCCTGAATATCCACTGAGTTTTTCTCCAACCTTCTGGAATACATGAGTCTTACTAAGGTCTCCAATACACTATCCTTTTTTTCCCTTGCTCATCTAGTGCAATTAGCACAGTGGTCAGCAGTATAATGGGCCAGTATGATTTTCTTCACAACTTTAGGAAATTCAGGTATTATAACTTGGTGTGAGAAAAAAATCAAAATAAAGCAAAACCATAAGTGTATACTGTTGTCCACTCCCGATGAATATAAACTGTTCCAGGGTCTCTTGAATGTGTTTACCAGATCTGCATACTTCTCTAGCAAAGATATCACATACAGAACAGCAGCCACATTTGGGGTTCTGCAGGGTTGAGGTGTGTGCTTCTCTGTAGAATCCTTTAGGATCTGCCTGGGTTTCACAGGTTGCAGACAAGTGAACTAAACTGAGAAATGATGAGAGATGCCACTCTGCATTATCAGGTCTTGAAGGTACCACGGCTTCCTGCCATCTACCTCTAGATAAGATGCTGTGGTGAGGAGAATGCAGTCTAACAAGTTTATGCTTGTGTTATATACTATGATAGCCTAAGGAGCCAATGTGGAACTATACCGACTACTAAATAGGCCTATTCAGAGGTCCTGGGTTCCATCCTCAGCAACCCTTAAAAATGGTATAGTTGAGGCATATAATATGATCCTCCCTACTCCAAAGGTAGAAACTAGAAGATCAGGTTCATGTTTGACCTCGGTTGGCTCAAGGTCCACCTGAAAGGCTATACTAAACCTTGTCTCACAACAGTGCGTGTGTGTGTGTGTGTGTGTGTGTGTGTGTGTGTGTGTGTGTGTGTAAAATTTTGGAACTGGGCCAATGACTACTGGTTAGGCCCCACTGTGAACTACAAGCTGACTGATTAAATACCTTGCCCCAATATGCCCCCACTCTGATGTGTGGCTTTGATGACATCAATGCCCATTTATACCCTATGTTTAGCAATTCTATCAATATTTAGACATAATCCCTTCCCAAGTATATGGTTATTTGGTTAAATAGCCAAAGGTCCTCCTGGAGAAAGAACAGAGGAAATTCTAATTATAGACAACAGCCATAGTATTACAGGGTTTTATTCCTAGGCATCTGGCCTCTCCCTTTATCTGTGAATTATGAGTCTGAAAACTGGCTCAAGTCCAAAAGTATTATTTCAGGAATCAATCAAGATCTCTCTCTCTCTCTCTCTCTCTCTCTCTCTCTCTCTCTCTCTCTCTCTCTCTCTCTTCCTCTCTCTCTCTCTCTTTCCTGTCTCTCTCCCCCCTCTCCTCCCTCTCTCTCTCCCCCCTCTCCCTCTCCCCCTCTCCTTCCCCTTCCCTACCCCTCCCCCTCTCTCTCCCTTTCTGAGCTGAAGTAACATAAACCCATAAAGCTATGGGGAAGGCCAGTTGTGTTGGAGCTAACTAAAGATGCACAAAGCCTAGTCTCCACCAAGACCCCCCCAGATATTCATGCATCACATCCATAGTGTTATCATGAATTCATCTGTTGTTCAGGAAACTATTTCAACATGGTAGGTGCAACAAAGGACCTTCCTTTGGGCAGACTGCAACACAGGACTAAAGCAAAGTAATGTTGTGGTGCTACCAGAAGACATGTCTCTTAGCTGACTCTCCTGAAGAAAGGCTTGAGAAGACATGGGCAGAGCAGCAGTGTCTGGAAAAACAATCTGAGAGTCAGAGCTAGATCCTAGCCCCAGACAGAAGTAGATCAGGTACTCAGACAGACTACAAAGCCCAGCCCTCAATTGACAGATGGAGTAAGTGCTTGCAAATTTCTACTCAGTGGGCTCCTGGTTACCACATATGCAACAAGGTGGCAGCACCACTCAGTTCCAGGAACTACTGAATGGTAAAGCTAAATCGACTATGAACCCTTTCAAGGAGCTAAAGAGGCAAAAGGAAGATACCTCATAGTGGAGGTAAGAGGGCTTATTTCCCTGATCCTGTGCAAATGATTTGAAAACTAACAAAGACCAACATGGCCTCCTGTCCCCTTCCTAACCCCCATCCTACTTTGGCAGCCTCTATATTTTGGGATATCTCCTTCAGATTCTTCAGCTTCTCATGCATCATCTGGGGCTGGTGTGGCAGAGGTAGCTATTGGAAAGTAGCGAGATGGTAGCAGGGCAAGCCTTGAGAGAGAGATGCCATGTCTCTCCTCAGCATATATGATCTCTGAAAAGATAGAAACCAAGTCCAACCAGCACAAAGCCAAAAAGAAGGCAAGCATTAAGATCCTCCCGACTAACCTAGACACATGGGGGAGAACCTAGGCCCTGCTCCAAATGATATGATATGATGATATGATATGATACAATACGATACGATATGATATGATATATGATATGATATGATATATGATATGATATGATATGATATGATGATATGAAGATCCCCCATGGAAAGCCTCACCCTCCATGGGGAGCAAAAAGGGGATGGGATGGGGGCTGGTGGGGGGCAGGGGAAGAGGGGAAGGAGAGGGAACTGGGACTGACATATAAAACAAGCTTGTTTCTAATTTAAATTTAAAAAAAATCTTCCAGACTAGCTCTGTGCTAGCTGCTATTTCTCATAATTATTTTTGCAGACATAAGAACATAATATATTCTTCCCTGCAAAGAGGTTGTGGCAAATGTCAGATGATTGACTGTGACAGTCACACTGGATCAGCAACGTGTGTCTACTTGTTGGCAGTGCTTCAATTCCCCCCCTCTCTCTGTATCATGTTCTGCAGCAGAATCTGAAAATAAAGAGATATAAGTCTTAAGGGTGTGTTTTTCCAGCTGTCTCCATTATCCATCCTTTTCCTCCAGGAACTGGTATGTGGATGAGCCTTCTTGTGGCAGTGAGGTCTGCGTGGTAATGTACCATCAGCCATCGGCCCCACCCGGCATCGGGGGCTCATACATGTTCCAGTGGAATGATGACCGGTGCAACATGAAGAACAATTTCATTTGCAAATATGCTGACGGTAACAAAACTTTTCCCCAGTTATATGGCTAAATTCCCCCAACCTCTTCCCCCATTTCAAAAACAGCTGCTGGTACCAAGGACTTATTCTGCGTTCACTGAGAAAGCTTTTTTTTTTGCAAATTTCAGCAACATTAAACTTTGAGAATTCTTGTAAATGGAAATGTGATGACACTTCCTCACTGAGAAATAGTTCTGGCAAAGGAGAGGTTATCAGGTGCAAAAGAAGGGTTGAGAAAGGAAAGAACGTAACTTACTTATAATAAAAAGCAAGACTTACGTGAACATCTGATAAAGGCCTCTGTTGTGAACAGGCACAAACTCACTCATTCCATGTGTGGTTGGCTGTGGGAGCCTAGAATAAGCTAATGGTTACTTCTGCAAGTCCTGTAGCAGCCACTTGAGATTATTTCCTGGAATTTAAGGAAACAAACTGATGACCAGAAAAGGCAAGTGACAAAGTGCCCCAACTTCACTGGCAGTCTTAGACAACGGGCACTTTGATGAAGAAGTTTAAAAGTCCCCAGTCCCCAGTCACCCACCACCTTTATATTTTCCTTGCAAATTCAGCTTGCATTTGCTCCCAGATCTGCAAAGAGTTGGAACTGGCAACAATCCCACAGTCTCACTCTGCTGAGTTCCTAGACTCCTTTATTAAGATTGACCTAGAATTAGACTTGAGTCCATTCTTGATGTGTCCCTGAAGTGCTGGGTCCCAGTTCCACAGCCCTTCCCAACAGTAGAATGACTTGTTTGTTAGTCCTATCTACTATAATCTGGGACTAAATACTACTGCCGTTTTTAGCTGTCTGAACGACATTATTCTTTAGTGACAATTTTGTGTTGAAAGAGGCTTCTCCTCACCCATTCTAGTCTCAGATAAACTCTTCTCCAGGCCCTGTCTTTTCCTGCCATACACAGTTGCCTCTAGAAGCTGCAGAGACCTGGGACCGGCTTAGCAGACCCCCTTCTCAGAGCAGTGAAAGGGAGCATTGCTTACACACGGACTTTCCATTTGCCACCACTTCTGTTTATCAGGCTCTAGTAACTTTATGATTGAAATGTTTGTACTTTTTAAAAACATAGCTCCTTATTGATTCTTTGGAAATTTCACATCATGTACCTCAGTCCTGCTCACCTTCATATCCTCTCTTCACTCCTTCAGTATGCCCCCCAAAATTAATTAAAAGTAAATAAAAACCCCACCTCACTCCTCCACCTTTCCAATGCCTCTTCATGTATCCTGGTGTGATGTGATGTACCATGTAGTGTACCCTTTTGTCTAGTCAGCCCCACCTGCAAAATGTTCGTTGCAATGAGTCATCAGTCCCGTTCAAGGCTTCTGGTTTCTGGTACCATCATCACTGGGTCCTCATCAAAACTTCTCAGTTTTCTTAATGAGAGTTTCTTTATTTTTATTATTTTAATTTTAAATAGCTTGTTTTACATGTCAATCCCAGTTCCCTCTCTCTCCCCTTCTCCCGCACCCCCCACCATCCCCCCCAGCCTCCCACCCTATCACCATTTCCTTCCACATAGGGGATATCTAGAGTCTGTCATTTCACTTAGAGCAGGGTCCAGGCACTCCCCTAAGAATACAGGCTGAGAGAGCCAATATCCTTTTATTTTTTAACTTGGTTCTTTTTTAAAAGACATAAATTACCTACCACTTTTATTATTGCCTGAATTAATTTGACTGAGTTCTTTTTTTCATTATTTTTTATTACACTTTTTTTAGAAAAGAGCTTGCTTCACATGTCAATCCCAGTTCTTTCTCCCTCCCCTCCTCCTGCACCCCCCCACCATTCCCCCCAACCTCCCACTCTATCCCCACTTCATTTCGCTCAGGGTAGGGTCCAGGCCCTCCCCCAAGAATCCAGGCTGAGAGAGCATCCCTCTGTGTGTTATGGACACATGAAGTCCATTTGTATGCCAGGGATAAATACTGATCTACTGTTCAGGGCCGCATAGGTTGCCCAGGCCTCCTCACTGACTCTCATACTCAGGGGGTCTGGATCAGTCTCATGCTGGCCTCCCAGCTGTCAGTCTGGGGTCCAAGAGCTCCCCTTTGTTCAGGTCAGCTGTCTCTGCTGGTTTCACCAGCCCATTCTTTGCCAATTTGCTCATCACTCCTCTCTCTCTGTCACTGGGTTCCAGGGGTTCAGTTCAGTATTTAACTGTGGGAGTCTGCCTCTGCTTTCATCAGTTACTGGATGAAGGTTATAAGATAGCATATAAGGTAGTCGTCAAGTTCATTATCAGGGCATTTAAGGTAGTCTCTCCACTATTGCTTAGCTTGTCAGTTGGTGTCATCCTTGTAGACCACTGGAGGTTTCACTGGTGCCAGATCTCTCTTCAAACCTATAATGACTCCCTCTATTATGGTATTTCTCATCCTGTTCTTCCCCTATTCTACCCCCAACTCAACCTTCCTGTTTCCCCATGACCTATTCTCTCCTCCTCTTCTCTTCTTCCCAGCTCCCATTCCCCCCTGCCCCCCACCGTGTTCCCAATCTGTTCAGGATATGTTGCCTCATTCCTCTTCTCTCGGGTACCATATATATCTCTCTTAGGTCCTTTCCTGTTTCCCAGACTCTCTGTCAGTGGAATTGTAGACTAGCACTCCCCTGATCCATGTCTAAAATCCATATATGAGTAAGTACATGCCATGTTTTTCTTTTTGTGACTTGGTTACCTCACTCAGGATGGTTTCTTCTAGTGCTATCTATTTGCCTGCAAATGTCAAGATTCCATTGTTTTTTCTGCTGAGTAGTACTCCATTGTGTAAATGCACCACATTTTCTCTATCCACTCTTCAGTAGTGGGGCATCTAGGTTGCTTCCAGGTTCTTGCTACTACGAATAATGCTGCTATGAACATAGTGGAACAGATGTCCTTGTTGTGTGAATTTGCATCTTTTGGATATATGCCTAAGAGTGGAATTGCTGGGTCTTGTGGTAGATTGATTCCCATTTTCCTGAGCAATCTCCATACTGATTTCCAAAGTGAGCATACAAGTTGGCACTCCCACCAGGAGTGGAGGAGTTTTCCCCTATGACTGAGTTCTTGCATGAAAAATACAGCACACCCTAAGGGTTTAATAAAGAGAATATTAAAAAGGCTACTTGCAGAGATGTAGGCCAAGAGCATATGATAAAGTATCTATGGATTATCTACAATAGGAATCTCTACCACCCCTAAACCTAAAGGAACCATTTTAGCAGAAGTCAGAGAAAGGATCCCTCCCAACAGAAGCACAAACAACGGAATATAGCTGCTGACAAACCACACTGACAGCAAAGTGAGCATGAGGAATGCATGCCAAGACCTCTGCCTGCCCCCGCCTTTACTTCCCATTGGCTAAGACCAATAAGATACCAACAGACAGGGATACCCCAGTGAAATAGTCCATGGAGATCAGCCTCCCAGGACATAGAAGTGAGATCTTATAGGGGAGATGGGCACATGGAGAAGAACTAAGTGACCCCGACAAGATAAATTCGTTCAGTTTACCATGCAGGGAAAACATCCTCATGAAAAGACTCTTGCCTCATTTTTCAACCTCACCTCTCAGCACTCTCAACTCTTCTCCTTGTCCTATTCCAATACTTTTGCACTCGGTGAAGTTCCTTGAAGGTTCTTATCTGCTATATTCTTTATCTAAAACATTTCTACCTTTCCCAGTCAACTCATTCTCATCCTTTGGTTAAAGGTTAAACACTACCTTCTCTCCTAATAACTAAATGCAAAAAGTCACTCTGGATTGCATCCTGGTGCAAAAGGATGTGACATAATTGTGTCAGTTGCCAGAATGGGAATAAGGTCTGTAGATTAAATTACAGTGTCTTATCAGTGTTGATCCCCTGGTTGTCATCATTATACCATATTTATGTAAGATAATGCACTCTATTTTAAAGATCAAAGCCATCAGGAGTAAGGGGGTACCATGTCATGTCAGCAACTCTCTGAAATGAAATTATGTGTGTGCATGTGTGTATGTGTGTGTTTACAGATACAAATAATATTTAAGTATGTAAGATGGCAAAATGATTATGAAAGGTATGTTCAGATTCTTGTACCATCTTGTAAAATTTATTATGAAATTATTTCAAAACAGCAACAATTTTAAAACCTGTTGGAAGCCTCTCAGGAACAGACTGCCTCCCATAGAGTGTGTATATGCCTACTTGTTTGTTTGCCCCTTTCACTTCATGGCTGTCAGGAGATCCAGAAGCATGCATTTCCAGCCACTTAATGAGCTAAGGATGAATTCTGTGGTTCCCACGGATGACACACCATCCTGCTAATATTATGACACACTGGGAAGGGACTGTGTGAGTGAGTGAGTGAATGATCATGTCTGAACTAGATTTGAGAATGTGATCATATGGAAGAAAAGAGGAGGAGGAGGAGGAGGAGGAAGATTAAGCATACTTCCCTTCCTGAATGAAATTCCTGATCTCTGGGCCTGATAACTATGATCTCTAAAACCTCCAGGATCCTATGAATCCCAGGCATCTGATTAGCATAAGAGACTCCTGCTAGTACCAGGTCAGCCAACAGCAAAATCATTTGCCATATGTCATCTGTGTGACTTAGAAGCTCTTAGAAATGCTTTAAGTCTCTCAAGGCTAGTCACCAGTCTCTGCCTTGAAACAGGGCAATCCCTCAACCACTTCCACTTCCGAAAGTCCAAGTGCTTGTTGCTTCTGAAATGTTCTCAGTATGAACTGATAACAGGTCTTGGACCACTTTAAGACAGTTTCAGCCAGGAACTACAGGAGGCGAGGCATAGGGATCCATGTTGAAGCTCAAGCCGTCCCTCTCTGATAAGGTGGAGGTTGTATGACAACACACAGAAGCCATTACACTATTTTTGTGTGTGTTTGGAAAGCCTAATATTAGAGCTCTTAAATACTTTTAAAATACTCAGGTAAAACTGAAGGAAGGCTAATACTCATGTGCAAGTAACTCTTTGACTTAAGCAACCTACTTCTGGTATCTGATAACAATAATTAATAAGGTGACAATAAGTAGAGTTTATTGGAATTGGATGCCACACTCAGGCGATTTTATTCAGATTAAGGAAAATGTAAGCACTGTTTTTGTTTTTGCTTCTTTCTGTTACAGAGAAACCAAGTACAACACCTTCTATAAAGCCTGAAGGTAAGATTTGGGTTAATTTGGGCCATTTCACAGTCCCCGTCAAGGTTTAAAATCATGACTTTAGAGCAGATTATGCAGCAGGAAGACCACTGGTATTAACCCAGGCAATTTGGCCAGACGTCTGTCACATCCTGTTGTGGCAACTAGCTCACCATTCTCATTCTCTGCCCACTGTTATCTGTGTTGGTCAAAACTGGAAAGTAATAATTTGAAAACTCCATTTTGGATGCTTATTATTATTATTATTATCGATATAAAGGGAGCAATGTAATCTAATGAAGTAAGAAATGAGCCCAGCTGATTATTTATGGTCCTAGCAGTGAGCCATTGTACATCTCCCTATGTACTTTAGTCCTTTATACTGCTTGTTGGCTGTTTTGATGTCTGATAATGGCAAAGGTCTCACCAAAACTATGAAGACATTTCTGGGGAGACAGCTCAGTGTGAAAAGTGCTCAGTGTGCAAGCATAAAGACCTGGGTTATAACTCCAGAATCCACATCTTAAAGCTTGGCATGGTAATATGCCCTCTGATCCCATCACTAGAGAGGCAGAGATGGGGTTTACCTGTCAGCCAAGCTGCCTGAATCTGCAAACTCCATATTCAGAGAGACAATGTCTCAAAACACAAGGTGGGGAGAACAGCAGTTGGAAGATATCTGGTGTTGATCTCTACCCATAAATACACACAAAACACACAGATAGGCAGTTTTGCACACACATACACATGAACACTGAGAGACATACACACAATGGAGAAAAATCCTAGTGCAACAAATTCAAACTTTACTGTGTTTATCAATAGCTTTGGTCAAATCACTACTGTTTTCTTGCACACCACTCTACATGTGGCAGGACCTCAGAGCATGCCTGGACTGTAGCACCTTTCTTCTCAAGTCCATGTGTATCTCTCTCAGGTGAAGCAACTGAGCCAGCAACACCAGTACTTCCAGAAGAAACACAGAAAGAAGACACCAAAGAAACATTTAAAGAAAGCAGAGGTACTTGGGAAAATGAATGATGGGACTCCTTTGACTAGAAACTTCCTATGGTTACACTTCCTACTTTCTTCTTCACACAGCTCTTTAAAAAGTGAGATTAGGCAAAAATCTGTGACATTGCAAACATTGCATTAAATACTAGATTCCATCAAGGAAGTATGCAGTGGGTGCTATCCTAAGACTACTGAGGGAAAGATTAGACAAGAGGTGAAAGGTCCTGCCTGTTTCTGTAAAGGCAAGACTTGGAGCTTTCCTGACCATGGGAAGTGGGATAGGACAGGGACCAAGAGAAGGAAGGGATGTCGAAAAACAAGACTGAAATAACCCAAGCCATAATACATCTGGGATCAGTATTCATCTATGAACCAAACTCAGGAAACGGGGAGGGTAAACCTCTAAAAGGCTGCATCATAAAAGGTAAAAGAAGTTGGGGTGATAAACTAGAGTGCTAATGAGCTCCTGACCTCACTGTCACCCTGAGTTTCAAGAGGGAAATCTGGGGTTGTGTCACTGGACAACTTAACTTAAAAGAAAATTTCTCTGTGCTTCACTTTAACCATTTCGTATTTTTCATACCTAGCTGGCAGCACGATCACCTTCATAAAGTAAAATGTAATGTTTTACTGCAATTCAGTTCTGACACTGGGGGTCTATGCAGATTAACGGCACATTCCACACCTCTCACATCAATCACAAGTCTCAGTCCTCAGACCGCCTGCACTGATGTTCAACTGGCTACACATTCAGTAGTGCCCACGAGCTCTGCCAAGTTCTGTAACTTACTAGAACTCACAGAATTTAGGAATACAGTGTCTGTTCATCTTATTAAACGGGATCCAAGTTGAGAACTACCAAATAAAGGTGCATCCAGGGAAAGGTCTGGAAGGGTTTCAGATGGAATCCTCTGTGTTATCTCCCAGTGAAATCAGGACTGTCAACCTCTTTGTTACGGTTTCACTATGAAATGTCTTCTGAATGCTCATGTATTGAATGTTTGGTCCCCAGGTAGTAGTGCTATTTGGAAAATTCTGGAAACTTTAGGGTGTGGGTTCTAGCTGGAGGAAGTGGGTCACAGGACATCTTTGAAGCTTACACGTGGTGCCTGGTATGTCCCTTTGTCTCTGCGTCCTGTTCACCATGATGTACACAGACACCTCCTCCTCCACATTTGCTTACCTCCGTCATGTTCTGCCTGATTTCATGGAGCCAGTCATGAATCCCTGAGCTGAAATCATCTTTCCTCTTTTAAGTCGCCCTCTTGGATAATTTGCTCAGAGCTCCACAAAAGTAAACAATATAAATCTCCTGGCACACTGATGTGTTACTGACCCAGGAAGCTCCTTTAGGCTTTGCTGTCCAGAGGCTGTTGTGTTTCATTACCTAAGCAGAATAGAGGTGGAGTCATTTGCAGGAAAGACAAAGATCACATAGACTGTCAGACCTTCCTAACACATCTGATTGAGGCCAAGCGGCTTCAGCAAGATCCCTGAGTGACATGAAGAAGACTTCTTTTCTGAACTCTGTAGTCTCGGGGACAGAACTGGATGTTGTTCCCTTTAGGGGCTGTGATGGTCAGTAGCTTGAATCACTGGGAGCAGAAGCCGGTTACCTACCCCACCCCACCCCCACTTTCTCTCACAGCTCCCCGAAGGGAACAACGTCCAGTTCTCTGTCCTGAAAATGACACTGAGACTTATGGCTTCATCTTTTTCACTCACTCTTCCCACTCTAATCCTGGGAAGTTCTGTGGTGGGCCTTGGAGGTAACGACATCCACACTGCCTGCCACCTCCAAGACTGTTTTTACTAAGAAGTAGGTGAAAAAGGAGGATCATTTTACTCTGAAAAAGAATCAAACATAATTTTCCAATATTTGAAAGACTCCAAAATTTAAACTTGTCTACAGTATCACTTAGATTAATAGGTCATGTAGAAAATGCTCATTTGTTGAAATGGACTCAGCTAACTGGGTAACTGCATCTATTTATCTATTTCCTAGATGTGCTGCTTGGAATACTCTATTGATTAGGCTTTTTAAAGCCTGGTTTGAAAGGAAATGTACAGAGAGAGGCAGTAGTGGTTGGGGGGGGGGACCACCAGGGATAATGTGTGCTTTTTTTTTATTTTTCAGAGGCTGCTTTGAATCTTGCCTACATCCTAATTCCCAGCATTCCCCTGTTCCTCTTACTAGTGGTCACTTCAGCTGCATGTTGGGTTTGGATCTGTAGAAAAAGGCAAGTAAAACCTTCATCATGAAAACCTCTGCTCTCTCTGCACTCTTTGAGATTTGGAGGCTACATAGTTGACGTCATTAAAAGCCATGAAAACTCCAAGAGAATGACCACTGTAGAACTGAGAGTAAACTCTGGCCGACCCAGGACTCTAGGTCCACACCAAACAAGTAGCATTTAGCTGAGCATTTGTGCTAAGCTGTAATTAAGCTAGTGGTCCTACGTACTTTCTTTTTCTCTGTGTGTAGAAGATTTTTAAGCATCGTGGAAGGTAAAACTGTATTATTCACTTCCTGTGCACCCATGTATCATCCAGCAAAATGCTCTCCTAAATGTAGATTCTCATGCCAAAAATGTTTGTTGAGTAAGGAATGACTAATGGACCACATGAAAACTGTGTGTTCAGAGCATTCTGGGAAGCTTCTGACACAAAGCCAGTCCATTCAGAATGAATCAGCCAAATTCTTTTTAATTGACTTTTCTTTTGATTTCAAATGTATGTTGTTGCAAAGCAGCTAAGCAAGGTAACAAAGGCAGCCTCTGCATATAATCTGGATCATGTGCTCACGTATTTTAGGTACATGCAACTGTCCTTAGTTACACTTTTGTTCCCTGTCATCATAGCATACATACAAGAGGACTAGCATTCTCACTTTTACAGAAGGAAAATCAAGGTCCAACTTAAGTTTGACTCACTTTGATGAGCAATTTGAAATAAATGTGTAAAAGTCCAATGCAGAACCTATTTCATTTAATAATCCATTTAAAGGATTATTATGGTATTAACACAATGAACACCCGCATATAACAAACACTCAAAAGTATTAGCCGTTACTACAATCATTTTTGTTAGTAATTCTCTTGAATTTAAAATAGAATTCAGTGTTAAAAACCACAGATACATTGTTCCAATGGCTTACACTGCGGTTGGTTCTTAAATGTACTTATCACTTTGCTAGGATTGGGGAACTGCAGCTCTCTTCCAAAATCACTTTCATTCTCCACCCCCCTCCTTCCCACTCCCTCTCTCCCTCCATCTTCATGTCTCTGTCCTGCTTTTGTTTTCCTGTTTTCTTTTTTCCTTCCTTCCTTTCTTCATTTTTTTAAACAGTCCTTGGGATCAACCCAGGGCTTTCCACATGCCAGACAAGTAACATTTAGCTATATCCCCAGTCTCTTAAACAATATTTTTAAACGTGTCAAACAAAATGCACTGTAAAAAAGGAAGCAATTGTACATAGTTTATCAAAAATATTTCCCAAAGTGAACTGTTTCTTTATTAATGACACTTAATGGTAAGTATAATTATAATTTTGAAGTACAGGTGAGCATAAAACATTTCAAAGCAACTATAATAACTGATATGATATGGGAACGTGATTTCTGTTGGTGATAGAGTCAGTGATAGTATTAATTCTACTCTTGTTGTCTATGCTTTTAATGGTACAATAAAATAGAATAGCAATAGAAATAGCTAATTCTACTTAGAAATGAGGTTTTTTTGTGTTTAGTTTTTAGTATCTCCTATTGCTTTCTGGCCCCACATTCTCAAGGGAGTCCTGGAACCCAAACTAGTGATGGTGAATGGCAGATGTAATGGCACTATGACCATAACACTTTCCTGGATTGTCTCCTACCTGACCCACAAAACCTATAGGTGTAGGTAGTTGAGTAGCAGAGCTAGTTCTCTTCCTCCACTTTCAACAGGAACCAGGGATATGTAATCTCAGTACCGTGGGCTCAAATACTCAGCCTGGTTCTCTTCTTCTAGAAAGCAAGAGCAGCCAGATCCTACCACAAAGGAGCAACACACCATTTGGCCCACTCCTCACCAAGAAAACAGCCCCAACCTGGATGTTTACAATGTCATCAGAAAACAAAGTGAGGCTGATTTAGCTGAGCCTCGGCCAGACCTGAAGAACATCTCATTTCGGGTGTGTTCTGGTGATGCCACTCCTGATGACATATCTTGTGACTATGACAACGTGGCTGTGAATCCTTCAGAAAGTGGGTTTGTGACTCTGGCAAGTATGGAGAGTGGATTTGTGACCAATGACATTTATGAGTTCTCCCCCGACAGAATGGGGAGGAGCAAGGAGAGTGGGTGGGTGGAAAATGAAATATATTTCTAAGACACATGAAAAAACTGGCAAAAATGAGAAAGCAAAAGCCTCCCGTTTCTCACAAGGAGAATGTTCAGAAAGTTTATGAAGATGCTCAGACCAATTCCTAAGGTGAGCACAGAATCTCCACAAGTTCCTCCTGGATCCCCGAGTTCTGGATGTGTCCCTTATCCCAGAGCACCTCACACAGCTCAGCCTTGTGAGAAGGCACCTTACCTAGGGGCTGCCTTACAGCAGGCCCTCAATAACTGTCAGGTTGCACCTGAAGTTCAAGGGCTGATGCTTCCAGGGGCCAGCGTAAAGGTGTGACCAAGGAGCTTGGAAAGCCCACCTCCAGGTTCTATTTTCCTTGCTCTCTACAGCAGCACATGCAATCACAAAAAGACAGAAATTGTGGGATCTTCTCAGAGCCTGTGAATGGAAGCCCCAGGCTGGCCTGCGCATCAGCAATTCCCATATCTGCCCCCACCCCAAATAATATCCAATAAAAAGCAGGAAGGAGAATGTTAGTCAGTGTGTGTCAGCAGTCCTTCCTCTGCGTGTGGCCTCAGGGGACCTTTTTTTTTTTTCCATTCTCCCAACATCTAAACTTGGAAAAACCCAACTTGGAAATACTTTCGAAAGTAAAAATGAAGTCTGTGTTTGCTTCAGGGCTCCTTGTTCTCCTGGCTCAGACAGTATGTGTTGTTCTGGGGATGGGTGGCAGCAGCATTGGAGACTGGCCGTGTAGGCAGAAAGACTGGTGAAAAGGTAGACATACCAAGGATAAGAAGAGGCAGGCTTCTCGCTGTCAGAGAAGGCAGTCACGGGCATCAGAAGGGAGAAAACTGAAATAGACCCTACCATGTTCGATGCAAACAGAAAACAGCGGTGTCACTTTGGGCTTTTCATACCGAGAATACATACAGATACATATATGTTCTCCACTAAAGTGAGCCAGGGCCTTGTGAATCTGATGACTCCAGGACAAACGCGCGCGCGCGCACACGCGCACACACACACACACACACACACACACACACACACACACACACACACACGTTACTTGAGTAATGAAAATTAAAATAATGGGTACCCAAACATAGGTAGAATTAACAAGTCTATTGCTCCACAGGAACAGTGATGGCCTGCCCAAGAACAGCCTATTACATATTTATGAATAACTACAAGAAAGGGGCTTAAGGGCAGCAAACACAGAGTCATGGTAAGGCTATGAGGATATTTGTTGCCCTGGTTTATCAGTATACATTGTATATATATATATGCTGATAAGTCCCGTTACTGTTAAAAATGTTTGTATTTAAAGAGATTGGGCATGAGAGTGGTCATTTGGGAAATTTTACACAACCACCAAGCAAGAATGATTAGAAATCAGCAGATTACAAAATTCAACTTACCATGAACCAACCACCTTTGGCAACGTGGGATAATTTGAGTATCAAAATCATTAACAATAAAATCAACAAGAATGTTGATTTTAAAACAGAAAAATGTGGGTGTATGCTGATACAAAATAAATTAATTAAGACTTTGATGAGGGGTGGAATATTTACATGATTTCAAGTGCCTCACCCACAAAATGATCATTAATTATAACAGGCAAACCCCACCTGGGTCAACTGATCATTGTGAATACTATCAGTACTGACGTGAACTGAGTTAGAGACCTCATATTGTGCTTCAGTGAGAGGAACATGGCATCGCATCTGTGCTGATCCAGTTGAAGCATACAAGCTGATCATAAGGAAGCCTTATACAAAAAGAGGTTAATAGACAATCTACAAAATAACTGAACTGCAAACTTTACGGCTGGTGATAAAGAAAGTGAAAGCAAGATAGGGGTAGCTGCAGTCAGAGGGCAGTAAAAGAGATGAAAGGTAAAGTCACTACTTGATTCTGAAACGGATCCCTTTTTTCCTGTAAAGGAAAATACGGAAACAAATTTGCATGAAGTCTGACAAATAAATGGTAATAATGAGTTAGTACTAATTTCCTGATTTTTACATTGCATTGAGGATATGTCCTTCTGATGGTGGGGCTGTCCTTGTAGAAAATACACATTAAAGTAATAGACGACAATGGACCATCAGGTTGACAACTTTCTCTCAAGTGCTTTGGGGATGGAGGAATGCTCTTCGCAATGTACTTGATCTCTCTTCTCTTGTTGGAATCATTTAAGGAAAATAATGTACAAACATCAGCACTGTAATTATTGATTATATTACTTACACTATGCCACCCGTGCATGTGATCTCAGCACACGTGCTGTGGCTGACAGCATCTAACAGTCTTGGATCCAAGACAAAAAAACAAACGAATCTCTGACAGAGTCATCATCAGAACCCAGACCCAGGTTCTGGCCCATCTCACAGATCTTTGTCTTGCCCTTAAAGGCAGCAGGGAGCTGTGATGGACCACCTTAAGCCACCCTGCAAAAGCTGATTCAGAGACTCCTTTCCTTCAAGGTTCCTTTGCCTTTCTGCTTTAGAAATTCAAGTAAGTTGTGTGATCTACAATAAATAAACATTAAGGAGTCCTTCAATTCTAAAATTATTTTATTTCAAAATGTTATTTTTCTAGCTTACTGAGTATATGACAGCGTTCTTAACTAGTAATAAGAACATGTACGATGGCAGATACAAATAGGAGGTTATGGCAAAACACACCCTATTCTGTAGAGATCCTTACTTCTTTCTGCCAAAGATCAGTAAATGGTTACTAATTGTTAAGTAATCTTACGTTATCATTGAGTCCTGAGTTTGAACAACAGACAAGGTGACCAGAATGGGTTATCAGCTCAGGACACTGGGAGAAACAATTTTCCCAAAATGTAGTAAGGGCAGTTGTAAAGTTTCCTAGAAAAATGGGATTATTAGATGTATAATAATCACTTAAATAGGTACTCGAACATTTTCTAGCACTTACAAATTCTGATCAGAAAAGTTAATCTACCGTAAGGAGTTAAAGTTAGGACTGTGCTGTGCATCTCAATCCTCACAAGTCCAAACAGAATTTACAACTGCTTGACAGTAGTTATAGGAAAAGTGCAGAACACTAAGGACTTTGCCAGAAAACTGGGGGCAGCTTTAATGTTTTATACCACCAGGTGGCAGTATTAAGATGCCATAGAAATTTTGCCCAATACTAATTTTCAGTTTGTGTCAAATTCCTACATCTAAAGTAAGAAGGGGGTTGGACAAGGATAGAAGTAGAGACAACACAGTAAAACGGAGTTGCTAAAATCGTGGACTCTGGGATTACATATCTAGGCTCCCAGTCTTCCTTCTGCCACTAACTGCTTGTGCCAACTTAAACAAACAGCTTCACTATTGAAGCCTCTGTTTCTCCATCTCTAAAATGAGGATAATAGGGTCTGAGGATTATTTAGCTTATAAAGTACTTGCCATATAACTATGAGGGCCTGACTTCAGATCACAAGCACCCACATAAAAAAGCAGGGCCTACCAATGTTCCCTATCACTGGGAAACAAAGTCAGGGTGATCCCAAGAGCTCACTGACCAGCCAGACTAGCTGAACCAGCTCCAGGCTCAATCAGAAACCTTGACTCAAAAAACAAGGTGGAGATCAACAGAAGAAGACATTCAGCTTCAAGTTCTGGCTTCTATACAAGTACACACACACACACACACACACACACACACACACACACAATGTACTTGGTATACCTTAAGGTTTGATTTGTGTGTAGCTCTTAAGTTTTTCATATACTGGAAGTCCTAACCCCTTAAGAATCTCCTTTAAGTGGGGGAGTTGGGCATGAAATCCCACTCCTGGCTAAGGAGCTGTTGGCACTTGATAGCTGCTTCGAGGGTGAAATTCAGTTCTCTTTAACAGTGTGACTCCTATTAGATTAATCACTCTTCAGAGCCTACCCCACACTCAAAAGTATTTGAGCAACACACATAGAACTCAACTGGTTGGGGGAGCGGGTAATGAGGTGGGGTATATCCAGGAGGAGTTGGGGGAGACAAATACATTCAAAATACATTGTATGAAGTTCTCAAAAAACTAGTAAAAATTTTAAAACATAGTTAATAGTTACCTAAATACATAAAAGAAGCTTCTTTTAAGAGGCATTGAAGGCCTTAGTTAAGAGGGGGGGTCACTAAAATAGCACTCTAATTCCAATGACTAGCGTCCTCATGAAAAGGAGCCTTTGGAATGGACGTGCACATGGGAAGTACATGATGAGATGAAGGCGGAACAAAGTGATGCTTCTGCAAGCCGAGGAACACCAAAGATTGCCTGCAAATCTCCAGAAGCCAGGTGAGAGTTGTGGACAAGTACGTCTTTTGCAACTTCAGAAAGAACCAAGCCTGCCATTGCCTTGACCTGAACTTCTAAACTCCAAAATTGGGAGAAAAAAATCAATTTCTTTTGCTCAATCCACCCAAGCTGTGATATTTGCCTCTGGCAGACTAAGACACTAATATAGCACATGATAAGAGCTCATTAAACAATAGTCAATATCAGCCCTGTACACCTTTTCTCCACTTGCACAAGACAATACAGCATTTTCTTAACTGTCATAAACATTTTACCCTACCTACACCACACAACTCCTAGCTGCATCAACCTAACCCTAACCCCCAAGGCAATGCTTAAGAAGAGTAATAGTTGATGCTGAAATAGGTACTTCTGCAAATCATCCCAAATCCTCCTTCCTGCTGAGAGAGGCCCAACCCTGTTGCGTAGGCTGCCATGCTGTCAGCAGCTGTGTGGAGCCACCTGCTCTGTGATCATGACACAGGCAGAGCATGACGCAATGTTACCTCCCAGGGTGGCCTCACGAAGCTTCATGCCACAAATTGCCTCCAAGACACCTTGGTCTAGAGAAGAGAAAATGAGAGAGAAATCACACAAGAACACATTAGCCCCTGGTTAAAATTTTAACTAAATGGAATCATTAGTGTGTTGTCCTTCAAATCAATTTATCAGGAGAAAAAAAAGACATCTCAAAACAACTGGGGAAAGTTGAACACAGAATGACAAAATTAAAAGTTATGGTGGGGTGATGTTTTAATTGTTGGTTTTGGTTTAGTTTAAGAAAAGGTCGCCTTGGTTAGAGATATATCTAGGGGCTGGCAAGATGGCCCAGTGGGCAAAGGTGCTTGCTGCACAAGCCTTACAACCTGGGTTGCTTGATCCCTAGATGTCACGTGAAGGTGGAAGGAGAGAACCAACTCCACCAAGCTGTCTTTTGGCCTCTATGTGTGTCATGGTATGTGGGTCTATACATACACATCATTTGTGCACGTACACACATACCTACTATTATCTACTTACCTTTTAAATTTTAAACATTTTAAGGATGCATATGATACAATGATTCACTTTCTGACATTTCTTTTTAAAACACGCCAGCAAGAGCAATGAGGGGAAGAGGAGTGAAACAAGGCTAGAAGACTCTGGTGACAATTTCACAGAACAGCAGACACACGGAGGTTCACTGTATTAATCTCTTGGCTTTTATGTACTTGAAAGTTCCCACTTGAGTGAGTGAGCGTATGTACATCATAAAAGTAGAAAATGAACCAAGATGGGAGGAAGAGCTCTTGGGGGATGGGGGCGGGAGGGGGGGAATTGAGCAAGAGAGGTCCTATATAGAATATATATAGAATATA